TCATCTTCTAATGTGGCCCAGGGAAGGTGAAAGGTTGGACACCCCTGCTCTACAGGCACAGTGGTTGTCTCTTTGGATTACTCAGATTATTTTATTTTCTATTAATACACATTTTATATTCATTTGCTATAATCCAAGAAAAGTGGATGTTACTGTATTTGGTGCTTAAATAAATAAAATGGAAGGACGAGAACAAGGATAAAACAATAAAATGTAAAACAAAGTAATACAACAAAAGAAATTATGTCTAGAACCTTGTATATACACACATATATGTACCCCAAAATAACTGTTGGTTAAGGATGATGGTACTTTGGTTTCAAATCACTACTTGATTCATGTATGAAAGACCCTAAGGTGGCTTGTTTCGATTTATGAGCAAAGAAATTAGGTTAGGCAAACCATTATTTGTCCTTACCATTTATTGTTTCTCATATGGATTTTGAACAAATTCTAAAGGAAATGTTTGGTCTTAAACTCTTCACAAGTAACTTATTTTCAACCAAACTCATCTTCCTCCCTGGGGAGAAAATTATTCGGAATGCAGCAGGGGGAATATCAGGCCGCATACAATAGCAAAGGAGGAAACCAGCATCTTGTGGGAAAGAGGTGGCCGGAGGAGACCCAGACGAGTTCTTAGATTCATCACTTGCCAGACTGTGTCAGTGAACCTGTTAGTCCAGGGATCCCCATCCCCCAGTCCATGGAAAGGCACTGGACCGCGGCATGCTGCAGAAAAACCTCTCTCCATGGAACCGGTCCCGGGTGCCCAAAACGGTGGTGGTCGCTCTGTTAGTCCACCATGATTCAATGAGATTGCACGGCTGGCTTCGCAAGTAGAATTGATGGAGCTTTTGGATCTGCCAAATTGTCAATTTTGGAGAAATATCTTTTTCGCCTTGTAGATTTTCAGGAGAACTTCCAATTTGGGCCTTTTTAAAAAATTGATCTCATGGATCAAAAAGTAATATTGTCAGGGTTCCAATTTACCCACCCAATGGAATCAAAACTCCAAGGCAGGCATCTTCCTCAAAGCACAGATTTATTAGGCATGTCATATTGGCACATCTGGGGAAGCCCAACTCTAACCCCTCCCTTGGATTTCCCCCTTCTTAAAAGTAAGGTTTTTTTTCCCCCTGCCCATGCAATCCATTGTGTGGTCCAATCAGGCCACAGTCCGGAGGTCAGTTGGTCTCAGATCCCACCTCCTTGCACCTGTGGGAACGTCCCCGGTTCTCAGAGGAAAGAATTTTACTTTGGCTACAATCCCACAGCTAACTCTACCTCCCCCTCCTCTTCCCCCAGCTCCACTTATCTCCACTGTGGCAGCCCTGAAGGTGCCAGGGAAAAATGATTTCAGGTCTGACAAATATTTTTAGTAGTCTGAGTTCCTAAAAGTTGTAGTGATATGTATCTAATTTTTATTTTATCCTTTATTAGAAAGGAAGGAGTAGCTGTCTCTCTGCTTTCACCAGCACAACTGAAAAAGAAATTTCCATGGTTGAACACTGATGACGTAGCTCTGGCTTCTTATGGTACCAACTGCTAATTCTTTATCTTATCCCTTATCCTAAAGCAAAATGGCAGCATCACTGTTGAGGTAATTCCCTGTTAGCAGAATGAGCGCATACAGGGAGACATTTGAGAGAAGTGTTTGAATGATACACACACAGCACACAGATACACTGTACAGTAAATGTAGGTTTTTACTTCCAGAAATGTTAAGCAAAGTTCAAGATAAGCAGTCCAAAGTCCTTCACAGGTAAGATCAGTCAGTTTTCAGTCCAGGGATAATCCAATAACAAAGTCCAGTGTCAAAAACAGTTCAGTATCAGACTTACATCAAAGCCAGGAATATCAGTCAATTAAGAGGAATGGCAATACTCTACAACAGAAGCTAAAACAGACTCACTCACTTCTGAGACTCTTAGACAACCCAGGTTTATGGCTCCAACTTATGGCTGTTTGAGAAACCACACCCAGTTGCACTTTTAGGATTCCCTTAAAGAGATAGTATTAAAATGTCTATCCTGGCTTATATACTTCCAACCTGAATAGCTGTTAGGTGACTTACATTCCTAACCATCACTATTTTGACTACAAAATTGCAGGCTAAAGACAAGGAGCCTTTTTTTGTAGGCTGAAATCACTTGGGTTCCAAAACCGGACGGTCAATTTTGTTTTCCTACTTGCAGTCTGCCTGCAGATCTGCAGTTCTGTCACCTGGTTTTTCAGTTCCCAGTTCAACTGAAGCAATTACCATTCTGAGGCTTTGTGGTTTTCACTCCTTCCAAATCCTTACTAGTTAAGAGAGCAAATTCAGCTTTACGCAAAAACTTCCCTCTGTTGAATTTGCAACAGGAATGTGGCCTTTGTGGGATGAAAATGTGGGTGTTATATATTGAGCCCAGGCTACTTGTGTCACCCTGTCTGCTAATTATTTCTCTTAAAACTACTTAGCCAAGGCTGCATAGTCCAATTATTCATTAATTTGCCCATATTTCAATCCGTGACCAAGCACAAGCATTCAAAACCTGTAGATAAGAACTTTGGGGACAAAGGTTTTTTTTTCTAAATTTACCAATGAGTCATCAAAGGACTTTGAGTTTGTTTTTTATGCCATGCATCTAGCAAAAAAGATCATAACTCCCACTTCTCTAAAATGATGCACGGTGCTGACCAAATTAATATTTGGTACCTGCTAATAACCCATAGAATTATCTCAGATGTGGTTACTGAGCAAAGCACAATGGGATTTATGCACTGTCTAAGCCATGAATGACACATTTCAATGCTTGTGGTCAGTCTAATTCCCAACCAGTTATATTATGTTGCAGCTTAGAATTCTTGTGAAGTTGGCCTTTGTCTAATTTGCTGTTACATTTAAATGCCAAGGTTTGCATTCCTACCATTTTTCTTGTATCCTCTCCCTGACTTTTCCTTCAGGCTTGGAAAATGAGGGCTGGTTTGATCCCTGGACTCTTCTCAATGCATTCAAGAGAAAAGCCATCTCTCTGGGCACGCTCCAGTATAACGGAGAAGTGACATGTAAGCGTTTTCCTTTGTGCTCCCTGCTGTAGCCAGGACATAGCTTTATTGCCAACAGAAATATTTTCTAAGGTACATTACCTGGAAGCGGATTCATGAGAGTCTAATGGGTTGAATCAAAGTAGTGTTCTCTACACTTGGAGTCAGTTGGAAAATAATCAAAGAGAGAAGCAAACCTGGAATTAAGGAGAAATTTCTTAACAGTGAGGACAATCATAACCAGTGAAACAGAAGTTGCCTTCAGAAATCATGGACGGTCCATCACTGGAGGTTTTTAAGAAGAGACTGGACAGTCGCTTGTCTGAAATGATATAGGTTCTCCTGCTTGAGCAGGGGGCTGGACTAGAAGACCTTCAAGGTCCCTTTCCGCTTCTATTCTATTCCATTCCATTCTATGCTATTCCATTCTCTTTTATATTCCAATATCTATTCTATTCCACTCCACTCCTATTCCTACTCTACTTTATATTCTATTCTTCTATTCTACTCTACTGTATATACTGTTCTCCTATTTTATTCTATTCTGTTGTCATTACTGGGGGAAAAAATAATCAGAATCAGTTTTGGAGTTTTGCCCCGTTTTACAACCTTTCTTGCCACAGTTGTTAAGGGAATCACTGCAGCTGTTAAGGTAATAAGGCAATTGTTAAGTGAACCTGGCTTCCCCATTGGCTTGGCTTGTGAGAAGGTGACCACATGACCCCGTGACACTGCAACCGTCATAAAAACATGCCAATTGACAGGTGCCCGAATTTTGATCACATGACCATGAGGCCGCTAACCCAGTTGCGAACGTGAAAAATGTTTGTAAGCTGCTTTTTTCAGTCCTGCTGTAGCTTAGAGCGGCCACTAAACAAATGGTTGTAAATTGAGGACTTTACCTATATTCAGAGGCCTTTATCCTCCCTCCCTCCATGCTATCAGGCAGCATTTTACCAAGGGGGGGGGGGAGAAGAATTTGATACTTTGCACAATTCCAGGTATCAGGTGACATTTGAGCTGCTCTGAGAAAGCATGATTATTCTGTGTCTTACCATAGAAGGTTTTTTTTTCCAGTCTGGCACCAATATTGAAGTTTTAATCTGAACATATCTGGAGATAAGTAGTATGCAAAAGATAATTAAGATTTGCTAAGGCACTTGGCTGAAGTGCAGCCATTTAGTTAGGAAGGAGAGAAACTTTAAAGTATACCTAAGACCCACATTTAGTATTGGCACTATTATAATTTTCCTTAACCTCCCTCCCCCCACCTCCGTTCACAAAACTTTCAGTAGCCTTGATTGATTGATTTGAAGAAAACAAATAATCTTTAAAAAAATAATATTTGTAAGAGGAACGTTTTAGAGTTAGGGTGTGATGACCTGGAGTGTAACACAAACGTAACAAAATCCAAAACGTAAATAAATGTCCTTTAATGCCTCCAACTTGGCCCCACTGTTCAATAATTCTCAGCTGGAGATAAAACGTTCTCAAAAATAGTCTTCAAAAGAAAGCAATACAGTCCGAACTTAATGAGCAGATAGAGGTGAAATTAAAACTAAAACAAACTCCAATGAAGGTGTGATGGACTGGCAATTGAAAAATGATGGGAGACGCAGGGAAGACTTCTGAGCAACTGCCAGCCCCGAGAGCCCCCGGGTAGCAGTATTTATTAAGAAAATGCAAATACAAAATCAAAACAATGACTTCAACATTAGCTCAGCAACATTATCTAGCTAGGCCTCAGCGAAGGTGATAAAGTTCCCGTGAGAAAGCAGGGCACCAAAGGTCTCATGGGAATGGCTCGGATAGGTACTGTGAACTCCCACACAAATTCCTGGCCTCTGAGCTTTGCAGATAACAGGATCAAACTCTCATCATAAAGACACTACTGCCCTCATGAGGAGCGTTTGTGATACCCCCAGATCTTACAAAGCTGTACAAGAACTTGCAGAATATGATGGATATATTACCACATGAAGGAAATTCCATAATTGACCAGGATAAGTAATTGCCAACTTCAAGTATATAACAAGGCACAGTCTGTTGGAAGGACGCCAACCAAGATAACTTCAGCCCAAAATAAAACACACTTTGCTTCTGGCAACGCTGTGTTGTAACCGTATCTCTTATATACTATTCTCCCCAGCTGCAACCAGTGAGGGGAATCATGGCCGCTTCCTCTCTCGTAAGCCAAGTTGTTTCCTTCTCCATTCCTCCCTGCGTGTCCTAGGATGAAGAGAGGATGGGCCTGGTTCTTCCTCTGACTGCCAGCCGGCCTCTGCCCCTCCCCAGCCTCTTCCACAACCACCGGAGCCACACCTCCACTCCCTGTCTGCTATTCCTCCACTCCCCATAGGGTTTGCTTCATGCTATAAAACATGCTAATCTGATAGGAAGGGTTATATGTTTTAAATAAATAATTGTAAATAGCAAGGAAGTTTTTTTTAAAAAAAATCTTTATATTTCAGGAATGAATCAACGGCAGTTATTTTACCGTCTCCTCCATCTTTTTTCCCTCCCCTACAGCTTTCAACTCGGGTTTTTATGAAATGAAGACTAAAGATCAGCATTGGAAAGCCTCGTGTATTAAAGCTGTTAATGTGAGTCATTCTTTTAGGGCTGTGTTATGCATCTCATGAATTACATAAAAGCATATTATTTTCTGCTTATGAGTGTTGCGGTGGCCTAGTGGTGGAGCTCTCGCCTCACAATCAGGAGGCTGTGAGTTCAATCCTAGGTAGAGGCAGATATTTCTCTCTTTGGGCACAATGAGAATATATCTGCCAAACAAAACTCCGCATTGGCAACAGGAAGGGAATCTGGCCAGCTCCATTCAGTTGCCCAGACTCTACACCCTCAAGGGATCATGAGGTTGTTAAAAGAGGGTGATGTATTTCTGCCTACCTAATGTATTTTTGCTTTCCTCTGGGATGCTGTCTTCATCGGTGGCTCAAGGGAACAAGACATAAAGCATTTTAAAAGGCAAGACAACATGCCTGTTGAACACAGTAACAAACCAGTGCAAGTTGTCCTTGATTTACAACCATTTGTTTAGTGACTGTTTGAAGTTATAATGGCACTGAATAAAAGTGACTTAGGACTGATTTTCACCTATATCCATTGCAGCATCCCCATAGTCACATGATTAAAATCCAGGTGCTTGGCAGCTGCTTCATATTTATGACCGTCTGACAAGCAGTGTCAATGTGGAAGACAGATGGATTACTAAATTAATAGCTGCAGTGATTCACTTAGCAACTGTGGCAAAGAAAGAGTGTTAAGATGGGGCAAAACTCACCTCTGTTGCTTAGCAACAGAAATCTTGGGCTCGATTCTGTTCGCAAATCTAGGGCTACCTGTGGTCTGTTTATTGCTACTGATTAAATTATAATTTAAGGCCCACTGATGTGGTATCAACATTAGTTCAGTTTGTCTCATCATTGATTGATTGATTGGCTTTATGGAAATTGGAAAGCCACCCCACTCATAACATATACCTTGGACAACTTACATTATTAAACCAATGCATATAGGTAGTCCTCAACTTACGATCACAATTGTGCCCAAAGTTTCTGTTAAGTGAGTTTTGTCCCATTTTACAATCTTTCTTGCCACAATTGTGAAGTGAATCACTGTAGGTAATAACTTAGTAACCCAGCTCTTTTTTTTAAAATACATTTTTATTGAATTTTACAGAGTTAAAAACAACACAAATATAAAACAACACAGCAACAAAACAACACAAATATAATTTTTACAATGTTGTGACATCTATTTTCTCTATGTTTATTAATTACCTACCTATATATTTATATATACATTTATTTGTTTGTACTTTTATTTTTGCTGTCCTATCATCCAACCAATTGTACCATTTTCCCATTCTGTATAGTATTCCTTCTCTTCCCTCTCTTGTAATTCGAATGTGAGTTTCACCATTTCTGCGCAATCCATAGTTTTCTTTATAATCAAACTATCTGTAGGGGTGCTATCTAGTTTCCAACTTTGAGCATAGGTTATTCTTGCTTCTGTTAGGATATGTACTATGAGGTATTTGACTTCTTTTTAAAATATTCCTCTGATTATCCTAAGCAGAAACATTTTAGGCTTACATTCTATTTGAGATCCAGTAATTTTGCAACCAAGTTCTTAATTTATTCCAGTATTCTTTTGCTTTAGGGCAGGACCACCATATGTGAAATAAGGTACCTCGTTCATTTCTACACTTCCAGCATTCGGGGCTCATATTTGGGTAAATTTTTGCCAATCCTGCTGGAGCTAGATGCCACCAATAAAACATTTTATAAAGGTTCTCCTTATACGCAGCAGCCATGGTCAATTTATAATTTTTAGTCCATAATTTTTCCCAATCTTCTAATTGTATACTATATCCAAAATTTTTCGCCCAGACTATCATTGTTCCTTTGACAATTTCTTCCTCCTTATCAAATTTAAGTAAATAATTATACATTTTAGTGAAAACATTTTCTTCTGACCCTAATAAAATTTTATCAATTTGTTGAGGTGTTTTATCTATGCCAAATTCTTCTATATCCTTTTTATATCTTGCTTGCAATTGCAAGCAAAGCCACCAATCTATTGTTATCATTCTCTCAGTTCTTGGTTCGTTTTTATTCTACCTTGATTGTCTAGTAATTGACTGTATCTTATCATTTTGGTTTTATCTAATGTATTTGGATATATCATAGCTTCCATTGTTGATAACCATCCTGGGGTTTTGATATAATTTCTTTTTATTTTCTCCCAAATTTGTAATAATGCATCTCTAATTTGATGATTTTGAAAGTGTGAACATGATTTACTCTTTTTTCTCCACAAGGCATTGTGCCACCCTATTTTCAGATCATGCCCTTCCAATATTAATATTCTTTTGTTATTTAAGGATATCCATTCTTTGATCCACACCAGTGTGGTAGTAGGATTCCCAATCAGGTAGTCCGAAGCCACCTCTATTTCTATTATCCTGCAATAGCTTTAGCCTTATTCTCATTTTTTTTCAGCCCATATAAATTTAGCTGTTATCTTATTTAATTCCCCCACAAAAAAAATATTAAGTTTGATAGGTATCGTTTGGAATAAATATAACCATCTTGGTAATAAATTCATTTTTATTGCAGCAATTTTTCCTACTAAAGATAGTTGTAATTTTTCTTGCGTTTCCAAGTCTTTCTTTGTCTGATTCATTAATTTAATATTATTATCATCTTTTATCGATGAGCACCTTGCTGTTAAAAATTCCTAAGTATTTAATTTTATTTGTAAGTTGCAGTTTTCTTTCTAATTCTTTTTTCTGACCATCTGTAAGATTCTTAGCTAATATCTTATTTTTATTAATTTTGAGACCTGCCACTTTGCCAAATTTCTCTATTTCTCTATTACCAAATTTCTCTATTACCCTGACTCAATCGGATTTTCTACAAAGAACACCAGATTGTCTGCGAAAGCCTGTATTTTAAATTCTTCTTTTTTTATCTTAATTCCTGTAATTACTTTATTATTCCTAATCTGCACTAATAGGCTTTCTATTGCAAGGATAAAACTCAGAGGTGATAATGGACATCCTTGTCTCATTCCTTTAGTTATATCAAATCGTTCAGTAAAGTCACCATTTACTATCGCACTGGCTTTCTGGCTGGAATAAATTGCTGTTACCATCCTTTCAAAATTTGGTCCAAATTCCATCCTTTTTATTTGCTGTTTAAAAAATTCCCAGTTCAGATTATCAAAGGCTTTTTGTGCGTCCAGGAAAATCATTGCTTCATAATATTCCAATACATTAGTTACTGTCCTCATCTTATTTCTGATTTGTCTTTTTGGTAGGAAACTGGTTTGGTTTGTGTGGATTATTTCATTTAATATTATTTTTAATCTTTCTGCCATTGTCATAAAAAATTTATAGTCAACATCTAGCAATGAGATTGGCCTATAGTTTTGGATTTGTTTATGACCGGTACCTTCTTTCAGTATTAACGTGATATATGCATCTGCCCATGATTGATTAATATATTGTGACTGAATTACAAAGGTGGATTTAATAGATTTTTTCTTTTTTCTTTCTTTTTTCTTTCTTTTTTTGAATGCTAATAGATTAACAAGGATAATTATAATATAAAAATTAATAGGAATAGAATATATTTTCAAAGTTTTGATTTATGGATAAAAATTAATTGTTAAGTTAGATAAATCTGTTGGATTGTTAACAAAAAAATATTTGGAAGAATAATTTGTAACTGGAAAAAGGAAGCGGAGAATAGAATTGATAAAGTAGGAAGAAAAAAGGGTTGAATAACTGAAACTGAGTGTAATAATATTAGAAAGCAAAGTAAAGTAAAAGATTAAATCAAAGAAAAATATACAGTGGATGGTGGAGTGGAGAAATATATATAAATTCTTAAGGATGACAGCTATAACAATAACTTTAAGAGTTGGAAAAAAACACTCCCTGAAATACCTCTTTGACATCAGCATCACCCTTGGGCCAAAGATTTATACAAAGTATGCTTAGTGCAGAAAAACCAAGTGCTGACAACTCTATTGGCAATACAGGAAACCATGCATATAAAAATGCAAGAATAGATGAATAAAAACCATGAAGAAATGAAGAACGAGATCAGTGAAATGAAAGGAGATATACAACAAATTGGGCAACAGAGTAGGCATAATCCAACATGTAATCGAAAAAAACGAGCATAAAATAAGAGTGGTAGAAAATAGAACGGAACAGGCAGAGAAGAAATTGGAAAAGGTGGACCAGAGATTGATGACAATAAATAGAGATTTAGAAGAATCCATTATCAATTTAGAGGTGGAACAATCGGCTTTCTACCTTCGCTTTCAAAATATTACGGAAAACAAAGAAGAGGACCTGAAAACTATAATGTCCGAACTATTAGCAGAAGTGACAAAAAGGGAGACAAGAAATTTAAAATGAAATCGATGAGATCTATAGGGTACATACAAATTACGCCTGGTGCCACAAACTGCCAAGGGAAGTCCACATCAGATTCTCAAAAAACAAGAGATGAGATCTACAAAGTTACAAGGGAAGAACCTATATCATACAAAGGCAAAGTAGTCCTGACATTGAAACAGATACCCAGATGTGTGAGGGAACAGAGGAGAGACTATGTCTTCTTATCAACACAGCTAATAAATCACAGTATACCATTCAGGTGGTTTATACCGGAAGGCATGTTGGCAGGAGAAGAAAATAAGAATTGATAACCTAGGAAAAGCACAGGATTTCTATGACCAACTTATGATAATAGAAAAACTTGGAAATGAAGAATCAGAAAGTAGAAGCCTAGAGGAACAGCAACCCAAAGAAGAAGAGTTAGAACAAGAAGAGAGAAGCAAAGAGGAAGTAGAACAGGAAGAAAGAGAGAAGATTAGAACAAGAGCACAAAGAGAAAACGATAAACAGAAGAGGCAACAGTATAGACAATAAAATGAATGAAGAGATAAAATTAATATCTGTGAACATAAAAGATTAAACTCTCCAATAAAAAGAAAATATTTTTTTACAAACCTGTATAAACAAAAAGCTGATATAATATGCCTTCAAGAAACACATATTAAGAAACAACATAAAAAATATTTGGAAGAAGCGAAACTAGGGGAAAAAAAGTAACCCAGTTGTTAAGTGAATCTGGCTTCCCCATTGAATTGTAAGTCAAGGACTTACCTGTACATATTTGTGCGTATGTATATGCGTATGTACAGTAGATAGGATAGCTAAAGCTACAGCTGTCCACCGATGAGACTAGAATAACAAACACGCGGGGCCGATGCATGGGGGAAGACCTAGGAAGTTCATTCAGGGGGTTGGTTTCTGGAGAGTGGTCCTTAAAGTTTCCTGAGATTTATTTTAAACACTCTTGGGACAGAAAAGGGAGGAGAGAAGGCTGCAAAGGAAGCTCAACATGAAGCATCATCTTTTCATTAGCTGTAGAGCAAATGCTTCATTTGTTCTTCCCTTTTTGCTTTCCTGTTCCTGTTGGAAAAAGTATTGGTTTGTTAGTGGACCATCTAACTGCTTGGTATAATCTCACCTGCTCTTTTGTCGCCCTTAACCTTCTACTGGTAGGTCCAGTTGCCCGAAAGTTTTGAACGTGCCAGGGTAGACTGCTGTATAGTGGTAAATGCGGCAGGAGCCTGGTCAGGCAAAGTGGCTGAGATGGCTGGCATTGGGGCTCCATCCGAAAACATCCTATCAGGGGTCAAGTTTCCAGTAGAACCCAAGAAAAGGTGAGGTTAAGTTCCATTACCTGTACAGCATGTATTTCTTTGACCCAAAGAGCAAAACCTGATTTATTATATTGTTTGAACTGAGCTGTTGAAGTTTTCTGGCAAATTGGGGTTTCTGGCATAGTGTATTGTGTGAATCCAGCCATCCAATTAAGGTAGCATGCATTTGGCAAGGCGTGGAGATCCGTATCTTTCCAATTGGAGTTTAAGGATTGCAGTTTCTATTACATTTCTCAGCTGCTATTCAGGATACGTTTTAATTTCCTCTTCCTTTAGGTAGATAGCTTATCGTCTTTGGCCTGCATCCCCCTAAATATGCTGATGATCGGGCCTAAAATAGATAACCTGCTTATAGCTCATTTTTACAGTACTGGTAATCCCCTTTAGCGAACATCAAAGTTATGTGGACAGCGCCCTCTAGTGTTTAAGAACAAGTTCCAAAACTGCAAATTTTGTAGCACCAGGGCAGTTGCTACCCCTTATGAACAACCACAGAGGCTCTGCAACGTTCGTCCTGCACTTTGCAGATCAAAATGGAGATTTGGAGGAGTGGGCCCAACCCTCCAACACTCCGTTTGGGCCTGCGCAGTGCCGGGTGAGGCCTGAATAGGCCTAAACAGAGCTGTGGAGGGGCACATATGGCTGAGAACTGGAGACAGCTTGCTAGATCTTCACACAGTAAGTGACCCAGCACAGTAGGTTTGAGTAGGGGGAAAGCAGTTATGGGGGCATGAGGTATTATATACACAAGACAAATCCCTTGTGTGTCTAATCACACTTGGCCAATAAAGAATTCAGTCAGTCAGTCAGTCATTCGTATTTCAGTGGGCCGGAGAGGCCTTGGGTGGTCTTAAACAGGTGGCTTGTTCCATCACTAGTCCGCTCCCCTGGTATTTCCCACCCTGAAATACCTCATGTGCACTTAACAAATTGTGCATTCGATTAGCGAATACCTGGGCGAAAGGAGGGAGTGATCGCATTTAAGGTATGAGATTTACTCCCACGAATCCTCGGGTTATAAATGGAAAGGGCAGGCTCCATTACATTCATAACTCGAGGACTACCTGTACCCACTGATCTTTTCATCCCTCTCTTTGGCCAAATTTAATTCCTGGCCTATGAAATGGAAAAGATCTAAGAAGGTATTGCCAGGAAAGTATTCTTTGAGAGAAGAGTGAGCAGAAAGCTGCGACCAGCTAGACTAAACCATACCAGAATAGACAAATGCAAAACTGTTGGTTCAAGGCAACTTCATATTTTAGCAAACAAGTCAAACGATACTCAGTGTTTTCCTTAGTGTGTGAAACTAACAAGGTACGGACTCTTGTATCTTGTGGTATTGTTAACTCTTTTGCAGCTGTTCGCTTCTATTCTTGCTCTCCTTCCAACTTATCAGTTGGGCCCGCTAGTCTGTCTTATATTTCCTTTGTTTGAAGCCCAGCTGATCCGCGCAGATTGCTGCGCCTCAGCTATTTTACTCACCGGGGCTGCAGTAGAAGGTAAGTTTTAGAGCTGTTTTCAAATGCACCGTGTGCGCGCAAAGGGCGCACTCACCGAACTGGTTGTTACACCGGTTGAATCCCACCACTGGAAATACTGCAAGAGCATCTCTTTATCCCTTCGCTCCTAGGTATGTCTACGTTTGGCACTGCCCTGAGGGACCCAGCTTGGAGTGCCCATTCCTCATTGACACCACTGGAGCGTATTTCCGAAGAGAAGGTTTGGGTGGCAACTATCTGGGAGGCTTAAGCCCAACAGAAGTGAGTTTATCAGGGCTTTGGGGACAGTTTTCTACCAGGTTTGTAAAGATTCTTTAGGGTTAAAGTGACAAGTGTATCTGGTCTGGTTCTAATAAGAATCAAGAGTTTTCTAAAGTCCTTCCTCTTCTTAAATTCTCGGATTTTCACCTTGTTTCCCAATTTTATAATAAATACTGTAGTTTCATGATCATAGCAATTCTAACAGTAGGTATCAGGCGAATGCCAGAAAACCACGCAGGAACTAATGTGATTCGGCAGGAACTTAAATCTGAGTTCTGAATTTCACCTCAGAGTGTCAATACCATTCTTGAGCAACTTGGATTTTGTTTTCAATTTTTAGTGTACTCAAAACTCGTTGAAACTTCATGCTGCTGGTTCAGGTTCGCTATTGTTTTTTAAGTTCATTTTTATCCTTTTGGGATGACCCATCTTAAAAGGATTGCTTTTCTAGGAGAAATTCAAGATTCAGGTAGTCCTTGACTTACAACCTCTTGTTTAGTGACTTCCAAGTTATGATAGTGCTGAAAAAAAAAAACCTTAATGACCATCCCTGTGGTCATGTGAACATAGCAACTGGCATATAAAAAATAATGATTGCAGCATCTTGGAGTCTTTTCCAGCTGGCTTCTGGCGAGCAAAATTAAAAAGGGCAACCAGATTTGCTTAACAACTGCAGGAAAAAAAGGTTGTAAAATTCGGTGTGGCTTACTTAACATCCACCTTGTTTAGTGACAGACATTCTGTTCACAATTGGGGTCATAAGTCGAAGACTACTGTACAAATCAGATTGAATACTCTTAATCTTTGTGGGCACTTATCTTGTTGGTAGAGTTATGAGGTCTGTGTTTACTTTTCAGGAAGAAGAGCCAGATATTGAAAATTTGGAAGTAGACCACGAGTTCTTCCAGGAAAAAGTCTGGCCTAAGCTTGCCCACCGAGTGCCGTGCTTTGAATCCTTGAAGGTAAGATATTGGTTAAGTAGTGAAAAAAACCCCGAGAAGTTAGCACCTTTATTGTTTACCTTTATTGTCACAATACATGTGTACAACGAGAGTGGCTCATCTTAAATTTCCTTACAACCGTTAACCCAAGCACACAGTAACAGACAGGATAAAAAGTCCTTTCCTATCTTAGTACATTTTGAGCTGGGCTTAATATTCTACAACACTTCGTTTAATTGGATCAGCTGACTGTAGAACTGTTTAGCACTGTTGTCAGAACTGTATGCAGCAGAACCCCTGGTCACAACTATAATTCATTCTATAACTTGGTCGCAACCCGATTTGGTCGTGATCTGAAACTAATTTTGGAAATTTGGCACTTACAAAAAAAATGGTGCGGAAGGGGAAATCGGCCCTGTGGGGGAAAAAATGTGGATTTTTTGGTCGGAACCTGATTTGATCGTAGTCAAAAGAGTTCCTGGGAGGTTCTACAGTGCAAGGTTACTTGGTAATATACATATTCTAGATCAAGGGTGCCAACTCAATTTCATTGAGGGCTGCATCACGGTTATGTCTGACTTTGGGAGGCCGGGTGGGCATGGCCAACTCTATGTCACTCATGTCGGGGGCACCTGTGGCGTCCCGAGTGGTCTGCCAACAAAAACGGGCTCCCAAGCTCAGTTTTCAGCCATGATGGCATCTTGCAACCCTCTGCCAGCAAAATGGAGCTTGGGAGGGCTGCGTGCCAGGCCTTCACTGTTTCCAGGACGGTCTCACCGGCCAGATCTGGCCCGTGGGCCTTGCGTTTGACACCCCTGTTCTAGATTATCCAGCACAGCAAAAGGCTTATCTGCTGGTTATATCAATTTAAAGTCAAGATTCAAATTTTCAGTATTTGGAAAAGGATCCTCCTTTGTTATCTTTCTCCTCCATTTATGTCTCCCGTTTAAGCTTGTTTTTAGTTGGGAGCAGCTAGTTAGAATTGAATTCCCTACCGAAGTATTCCGTTGACATGACTCGGATTAGCTCAGCCAACCAATTGCTTAAGAAACCAGCTCTCCATGGGTTTTTTGTGGTGTGTGTGTGATTTTATATTCTTTACCCTTCAGACTTGTCTCTCAATCCATTGTACATCATGCTCAGGACTAACAAGAAATTGATCTCTCTTTCTGGCAGGTGAAAAGCTCCTGGGCCGGTTACTATGACTACAGTACGTTTGATCAGAATCCTGTGATTGGCAGGCACCCACTAGTGTCAAACCTCTACTTTGCTTCAGGCTTCAGTGGACATGGGTTACAGCATGCCCCAGCAGTGGGACAAGCCATAGCCGAGCTCATTCTTGACCTTAAATATAAGACCATCAACCTGGAGAGATTCTCCTTCGATAGGCTTATCAAAGATGAGAAGCTCCCGGAAAGAAATATAGTCTAATGCCACCCAAGTTGGGATTCATTTGAAGAGTTGAGTTTCCATCGTTTTATTCTCTCCCCACTTTTTATCGTCAGGCCTAGTCATTACCTCCAGCACCAGGAAGTTGCTCTGACTGTGATACGGCACAGCTGCAGCTCATTTGAATGGGTCTGTTCTGCGCAGAATAACTCAGAGTAACCGAAGAGTGATCAACTGCTGATGCTGCTGTGATCAAAGCTCGCGGAACCTGAAATTGAAGAGGAGACTCGTGGAGGAGAGGGTTTTCCCCCTCGCCAGCTCTGCTTCTGCTCTCCGTTGTCACTCCTCCGGTGCTTTAGAGCTTAAGCTTCTCTTTCAGCAGAGGACTTTAGAGAAAGAGGAAGGAAATGACAAAAAGATCTGCTGTCCCTTTTGTACCTCTTCCTCCACTGTTTGGCCTACTAGGACTCTGGTGTCTGCTTAGATCAGTGTTAGAAGAAAGAGGAAGTTATTCCAGGAATGTGGCTAAAAGGAGACAAAAAGGAAACGACTCAACCAGGCCGCTTTTTAAACACCTCTCCCTTCTCCCTCCTTCGAGTCAGAATTTAGATCAAGAATAGGATGTCTTGGACTGAAATAGAAGTTTAATGAGGATAAAGCTTTACCTGCAGCCATTCATCAGCTAGATTCCTTTAGACCAGGGGTCTCCAACCTTAGCAACTTTAAGGCTTGGGGACTTCAATTCCCACTTGAAGTCCACAAGTCTTAAAGTTGCTAAGGTTGGAGCGCCCTGCTCCGGACAGTCTTTCTCAAAATGGAAATGTTAAGATGGGTGAACTCCAATTCCCAGAATTCCCCAGCCAGAAATCTAAGAAAGAAACTCCCCGTTCCCTAGTTTATCTCCAGTACCTGATACGCAGAGGTATGCCAAATCTATAGGAAATCTTTTAATTTGTTTTTTTCCAGCTGAAGGTTACTCCTAAGATATCTACTTCAATCACCTTGCAAAGTACCTAATTTGATTTTTTTATTGAGTTTTGGAGGAGGACCACATCTGGGACATAAATACAGTGTGAGGTGCAGAGAAGGTGCCATCAGCATTCTCTTCCAATTTATGTGGATCATGTACTGCAAAGCATGTTGATTTTAGACATAGACTCAGGAACTGTAACTCTACAGAATAGTGATGTACTGAGTTTAGTGCATCACAGTGCAAATAATTTTTAACACCTTTGACAGTGTAAGCCAATAAAACAAATTATTTCCAAGTACATACCTTGCAGAACATACAATTACTTTTGTAACATTTACCGTATAAATAATATTTTGTCATACTTTTATGATACAGTGGATATTGCAACCAAAGTGAATTGGGCGTCAGTAATTTTTGTATAGCTTTTCAAGCTGTTTTGTTGTTTTGCTACGTACTGAACTGATAAATACTTCCATGGGCGCTGAAGAAAGACTGCTAGTTTTTTGCCTGATGAAGATTCATCCCAAATAATTAATCCTTTCCCTCTCCTGCCTGCTGAGATAAGCTTACCAATCTCACAGTGCTATTTTCTCTTTTCAGAAAGGTGCCAAAGGATCAGGGATTAAGAAATTAATTTGCCTTCCTGCAGTAAGTTTCTTACTTCTTCCTGTTCATTCTGCATATACATTGAGGCACAGCAGAATTCTTAGAACAGAGAATTTGAATTATTCCTTTCTATCTTACAGGTTTGTCATTGAATATATCCTCAACCTAGATACTCTAAGTTTCCTTTGCAGTACTTGGCATCATAATTTTTGAGATTCTCTTCCATCCCTCATTTTAAAAAAGCCCACATTCCCAGTTCTTGTGAGATTTCTTGCCAAGAGTTCGTTTTGGAAATATTTTCCGGTTGCAAAGAAGCTAAGACATATTTCTCAAGTTTAACTCCTGGATGACTGTTTTTAGCTAAATTGTAGAAATGGGTTGCTATGTTTTCCAGCTGGCCGGTGCAGCCAACAACCCTGGAATTCCTAAGGAATGCCATTCCAAATAGTTTATTGTCATTGCACTTCGTACAACGAAATTAAATGCCATCTTCAGTGTACATTATAACTATAAAAAAACACAAATATATAATAACTAAGGCCTTAGCATCTGAAATTTGGTAGGAGCTAAATTACAACAAAATTGAGCATCAAGTCACTGTCAATTGTCAACTCAGCCACCACATATAGATGTTCTCCAGGACATGAACAAAATAAATACTTTGATATTTCCATAATGTGTAGTACAAATCCATGAAGTTTTTGCTTGGTTCATTACAGAGATCCAACCACTTAGATTTGTTAAACCGATTTGAGTACCATCTGTAAAAGCTGCCCATCCATCAATCAACTCAACAGCTCCTACCATCCGGCTGGTCAGTGAAAATGGTCTTTGCAGGAGGCAACAGCCACCCAAATGCGACTGTTCTTGAGCACAAATTCCTCTTCCCTCTGAGGGATTCTAACTCCAGGTTATTTTCAAAGAGCAACACTCATGTTTAGGCTTTTGGGTCATCTGCTGAGAAATCCCTGGATGCAAACAATTCAGAATCTCTGCTTCCGCATCCCAAAATTGGGTTTAATAGCAATGAAAGGCTCCTTGGGGCAAACCTTCATTTGCCTTTTGGACATTGAAATTGAAACTGAAATTACCATAACAAAGTTCCATTTTTTTTTTTTGTTATTATAGATGTTGACAGCAGCAAGACTATTGTATGCACAAAAATGGGAGGGTGCTTCGATTCCCACTACAGGCGAATGGTTGCAGAAGTTGATGGAGTTGGCTGAAATGGCAAAGTTGAACACTTTCATTGAAGAACAGAAGTACTTTCGTTTCCACATGGAGACAAAGCTTCTGAGCTTCCTGCTTGAGGTGGAGAAGAATGAAACTCTGACTTTGGGATTTACCCATTAGACCAAAGGGTCTTCCAACTTGGCAACTTTAAGACTGGTGGACTTCAACTCCCAGAATTTCTGAGCTAACATGACTGGAGGAGGAATTCTGGCAGTTGAAGTCCACAAGTCTTAAAGCTGTCAAGTTGGAAGACCCCTGGCTTAGAATAAGAGAAAGAGTGAACAGTCGCTTAAACAGTTGCTTAAACAGTCTTTAAGCGAAATGGATGATTTTATCTTCCTCAATACTCTTCAAGAAGTAGCCCGTAAAGGAAAACCCTTTGGAAGGGAAGGTAAAGATAATCGAAACCTACCTGACTCCATGTCAAAAGTATACCAGAGGTCTTCAAACTGGGCAAGTTTAAGACTTGTGGACTTCAACTCCCAGAATTCCTGAGCTAACATGACTGGAGGAGGAATTCTGGCAGTTGAAGTCCACAGGTCTTAAAGCTGCCAAGTTGGAAGACCCCTGCATTAGGCCGACAGATCTCTCTAGAAATGGCTTGTTCATATTATGAAAAAGCAAAAAGTCGTGATTTGATGTGAATGCCGTGTTACTGTAACAGAGAGCAAGTGAATGCGTCTTTCTTTTTCTTTTCCTTTCACTTCTCTTCCTCCCCCTTTCTACCTCCCCCACTGCTTTTCTATTTACGTTTGTATTTTATAATACTTTATTCAACTCAATAAAAATGCAAAAAAGAAAGAAACTGAAATTGGGGAAGGGGGGGTGGATTTGCCGCGCGTGGGTGCAGCTGCCGCCCCTTCGGGCGACCCTAACACGAAACTCCGAGGTTGCCTTGGGGTGCAGCGCGTTGCATTCGGGCAATAACCCGGGGACCCAAAGGGGGCTGCGGCCCGAATCCAGCCACCCAGCAGCCCCGCCCGGTTGAAGCTCACTGCGCGGCTCTTAGCAACTCGGGCGTCACGGGAGGGAACCTCTGCGCGGTTCAAGGAAGGCCGGCGTTGCGCGATCGCGGGCACTTTTGCAGAGGATCGCCCGGCGAAGGCGAAGGGCAGCGGGAACCGCTCGCGGGGCGGAGTGGAAGGAGGTCCCCGCCTGGCGGGCAGGGCGAGAACCTGCCTCCCCGCCTGCGGAATCCCTGGCGCAGCTCTGGATGTGCGCTGGGCGTGGAGAGGACGCGTCGCGCCCTCGTAGGAGAAGCCAAGGGGGAAGTTGGAGAGCAGCTCGGTTTCTTCGCAGGGTAGGGCAGGGCAGGGCAGGGCAGGGATGGCTCGGCCGCCGGCCCGCTCGGATCTTCGTAGCGGCAGAAAGGAAAAGGGACTCCAGCGGTTGGTCCCGGCGCCGGGGAGCAGGTGGGCGAGGGTGCCCGGGGCGCGCGAGGGTCCAAGGTTTTGCTTTGCGCGCCGCGCTTTGCTCGGCTCGGCTTTCCCTGGTTCCGGGAAAGCTTTTTTCTTTTGAGTTGAACGTTTTCTCTAACCCAAAGATAAATGGAGAAGAAGAGAGAGCGAAAGTAGAAAGAGTTAGAAGGGGAGGAGGAATGTAAGAAACCGAAGCGGCTTCCGATCTTCTCAGCTGCAAACTTTTTAAACGCGCTCTTCCTCCGCTTTAGGATAATATTCTAACAGTTCTCTTCTCTGATCGGCTCTTTTGAACCAGCAGATCTCAGAGACCGCCGGTTCACTGTGATCCATTTTTAGCAAAAGGTCCAAACAGAGTTTTCAATCTTTTATTTATTTATTTATTTTAAAAAAATCTGCTTACTGTTTTGTCCCTAAGCCGACTAAGTCATTTTAAGCCATTTCTGCAAGTTCTTCCGTTTTCATTCTCCTCTCCTCCATTTTCTCTAATGTGAGGAAAGCAGCTTTTGAAATATGTTTTTATCTCTGCTTCTCTTTACAGCAGCGGTCTTCAAACTGGACAACTTTAAGACTTGTGGACCTCAACTGCCAGAATTCCTCCTCCAGTGATGTTAGCTCAGGAGTTGAAGTGCACAAGTCTTAAACTTGGCAAATGTGAAGATTCTTGGTTTACAGTATATATTTGCTTCTGAATGGCTTCTGACTCCTGGAATCTGGCCGATGTGATAATCCTGTTTTGTTCTTTCCTGTTGAACTTCAAAGTAGGTGAAAAGGACTCAGGAACAAGAATAAGAGCAGAGCTGAGTTGGGTTCCAGTGTGATGTGTGGCCTGCGCAGCTGTGGCACTCTTCTCCCGGGGAAGAAAGGCAGCTGAGACTTGCTGGTGGACATGGCAGGTAAGGAAGTGTCAGTGTGCATGTGCGTTCAGTGTTCTTCCGACACTTCTTCACCCTAAACTTCTCCTTTCAGGTACTCCATTGTAAGAATGTGTGAAAGCAGCCATGTTTTATGGGGCTGTCCAACCTTGGCCACTTTAAGCCTGGAGGACTTCAACTCCCAGAATTGGCTGGCTGGGGAATTCTGGGAGTTGAAGTCCTCCAGGCTTAAAGTGGCCAAGGTTGGAGACCCTTGCGCTAAAAGAAACTTGATCAGTGTTCTGCTACTGACTAACGGACCATTTTTCAAGATGTATTGGGCTGCAACTTAACAAATGTTCAGCCACATATTCTTTTGTGGAAGAGTGGAATTTGTTTGGCCTCTTGATTTATCTAGAAAATACCGGAGTGAACTAGCTGAGCAATTATTATTGAGCAATATATAAAAGGGCAACTGTGGTCATAAAAGAAGCAGAAGGAAGGTTCAGGAAAGTGATACAGGTAGTTCTCAACTTGCAACCCCAATTGAGCCCAAAATTTCTCTTGCAGACATTTGTGAAGTGAGTTTTGCAACATTTTACGACCTTTCTTGCCACAGTTGTTAAGTGAATCACAGCAGATAAGTTAGTAACACGGTTGTTAAATGAATCTGGCTTCCCCGTGGATTTTCCTTGTCAGAAGGTCATAAGAGGGGATCATGTGATCCCTGGGACATTGCATTCGTTATAAATATGAGTCAGTTGCCAAGCGTCTGAATTTTGTTCACCTGACCAGTCATAAGTGTGAAAAATGGTCATAATAAGTCGCTTTTTCAGTACCGTTGTAACTTTGGTCACTAAATGAAGTTGAGTGTTGTAAGTTGAGAACTACCTGCATTGAGAGCCTATTATTCAGCCCAGCCGTATCAGTCTTTTAAAATTTTAGCTTTGCGTGGAGAAGTGGAAAATGCAGCAAATGGAACTCAGTGCAGATAGACACCTAATAATTAACCAAAGCAGGGGTGGGATTCTACCTGGTCGGACCAGTTCTATAGAACTGGTTGTTACGATTCTGTGCAGTTCGAAGAACTGGCAAATAGTGTCAGTGCCTGGCCCCACCCCTCCCCTCCCCGCTGACTTACTCCTTACGTGGCATGCGTGCCATCCAATTTGTCTGTGTTGTGCCTTTGCCTAACTTTTGGTAAGTTGCTATTTTCCCTTTTTTCTTTCCCAACCATCAGCTATTCCAACTATCAGCTGTGCCTAGATTATCTAGAAAGCAGGAAATTATTTGGATTTCTTGCTTTCTAGCTAATCTAAAAGCAGAGCTGAACCTTCCTTAGGACTGAAGCTTCTATTTTTCAGTGTGGACTCAGGTAACAGATTGCAGAAAGGTGGATTTCTGAGTAAATCTGTGATTTTTGTGAGCAACCCAATCTGCCTGCCTGTTTTGCCTGATTTTGGGTAAACGTTGCTCTTTTTTATATAAAAAAATTCAATATTTACATGCATGATATGTTGTGAGTTAATTTTGTGAGTTTGCTTGCTAGCAAATTTTATGAGTTTGTTTGCAAGCAAATCTTATGTGAGTGTGACAGACTCAGGCAGCAGATTGCAGAAAGATAGGTCTCTGAGTGAATCTGTGATTCTGCGAGCAACTCAATCTGTGTCATGACCCTGGTGGAGACTGACTCTGAAGAAGAGGAGGAACAGCCAACAGGGAGTGTGGCTCCAGAGGTGGTGGAAGAGGCTGGGGAAGGGCAGAGGCCGGCTGAGCAATCAGAAGAGGATCCAGGCCCATCCCCTATCCATCCTAGGGCACGCAGAGGAGAGGATCAGGGAAAAGCGAGGTCTACTCAGGAGGAGATTACCATGATACTCCTCATGGCCTGCAGCTGGGAACTATGTATATAAGTTTGTAACTGCGTAGTCAGAATTGCTGGAGTCAAATTTAGTGCTTCCTTTGAATGAGGTTTATCTTTGTTGCCGTTCTTCCCATGGACTCTCCCTGATTATCTTCCTGGAATATATGATTAATTATCTTGGCTTGCTTCGTCAATGCGGTTTGTTTTTGGTTTCCTTTTGCCTCATTATTTACTTTTGTGACTTTAAACTGTGCCTAATAAAACAGTGAAGTAAGTTGAAGGCATTACCGGACTTTAATGTATGTTTTGGGTTTGGGGTTATTTTGAGAGACTACGGGTCATCACAATCTGCCTGCCTGTTTTGCCTGATTTTGGGTAAAAGTTGCTCTTTTTTTATAAAAAATTGAAGATTTACGTAAATATTTACAATATTTACATACAAGCCACACCCAACCAGTCATGTGACCACCAAGCCACACCCACAAATTAGGCCATGCCTACAGAACCGGTTAAGAAATTTGAATCCCACCCCTGAACCAAAGAAATGTCTCTGATTGGACCCTGTTCCAAAGAATCACAATTGCCGAATGATTGTAGGTCAAGGTCTACCTGTATGGTAGACATTCTTTCATATCTTTCAGCGATATCTTACATGGTTTGTGTTACAGTAGTGAATTCATTGATGAACCAGTGATGAACCTATTGATAAGAATAAAATATAAGTAGCTGTTTTCCCCTTTTCTTTCTTAGTTTGCATTTTTAGCTTGTCAGTTTAATTTTTGTAATAAGTTTCTTTTTTAAGATTAAAGATTGTTTTGTGACAAAAAAAAGTGGTAAACAAAGAGATGGTACCTTTGGTTAAAGCTTTAGGAGCTGGCTTCCTCAACACCCGCCTATTTCTGATTTGTGCAGGCTGGTTCAAGACATTGCTGCAGAAACCCAAGAAGCCAGACGCCTCAAATGGTATTCCTGGGTGTTCTCCTTCCTCGCCTTCACCTCCCGTGCAGAAAAGTCCTAGTTCGCTTCCTCGGAGCTTGACCAGCAGCCCCAAACTGGGTTCCTCTATCACCCGGATTGTGAGCAATTCTGACAGTGCCCGATGGAGCAAGTTATACGATGTCTGCATTTGTCACAGCGAGGGCGACCTTGAGTTTGTGGAAGAGCTGGTGGCCTACTTGGAGAAGCAGCCCGAATGTTTCCGTTGCTTTCTTCAGCTGCGGGACTCTGTTCCAGGTGGGGCTGTGGTGACAGAGCTGTGCAACGCCGTCCAGAACAGCCATTGTTGGGTGCTGTTGATCACACCCAACTTCCTAAAGGATCCTTGGTGTTGCTATCAGATGCACCACGCCTTGACCGAGGCACCCATGGCAAATGGGCGTACCATCCCTGTGCTGAAGGATATAGACCGCAAGGATTACCCCAGGGAACTCCGATGCATTTACTACATCAGCGTGGTGCTCCAGGAGAACAGTTTCCGACAAATCAAAGAGACGATCCTGCGTTGTAAGTGAGAAACTTACTGGGGTGGGCAATTCATTTTCCCAAGGAGCCACATGAGAACCTGTGAAGGTGCATAGGCATGTATGGAAATTGAAAAAGGTAGCAATCACCTTCAAGATACAGGTACTCCTCTGCTTGAATCAACAAACAAACAAGCTTAGAGCATATAATGGGACAGTTTGACCTGTTTGGGAAACCTGAAAGTTAAGCGAGGTGCTGCCAATCACCAAGGGATTGGGAAGATGGTGCTGTGGTCCGTCAGCAGCCAGCAGAGCTGGCAGCAGATTTGGACAGTGAGGAGGTTGGGGTGGAACATGGGCCAGTCCTGGAGTCTGGGGAAGGCTCTGAGGAGTGCTTGTGTCAGAGGCAGAGATGGGGCCAGGGCTGACTAATAGTTATCAGCTGCCTTTGGAGTTGGACATCAGTGAGGCAGAAGAACAGCTGGAGCCTGTTCCCAGTGTGTGCATGCGCAGAGCTGCCAGAAGAAGGAACAGCTAGGGAACAAGGGTCAACTTGGGAGTAAAGCCACAGTTGGACGGAGAATGGCCCCGCCCATAGGGAATAAAAGAGGAGTGAAAGGGGAGTGGGGTTTTGCAGGAGACAATTAGTTCATTTGGGTGAAGATCTTTTCCTGCATTCTTGCCAAGTATTGTCTGCTACAGTGTGGCATCTGAAAGATATCGGTCTGGCAACTCTCCAAGCCTGATAAAGGTCTGTAATTGTGAACTATCTTGAAAGGCTGTTGTCCAGGACTTTGCTGGAGAGGAATTCACTGTAAACTAAATAAAAGGGGTTTATTGGGATGAGGAGTTGGCTTTGTGCTGTTGGGGAAGTGTAGGTCAGAACAGGTGGGTTCGCATCTTGCATAAAAACCAGATTGGTTTTGACTGAGCAATTTGTGCAAACTCAGTTGTAATTTATTAAATAAATGACAGCTGAAGGAACCATGGTTTATAATTAGTGAGGCTCTTCATTGGATTCAAAGCTCCTGACAGCTTGCTTTTTCTTTTTTTCCTTTAGATCTCCTGGACTTTTGTCAAAAAACAAGAAGCAAAGACTAACTGCACTTTTGGATGAAAAAAAAAAGATTATTGGTTACAGGAAATGTAAGGTCAAAGGAAGGTCTTTTGGTACATGGGACTTGGAGAAGAAGCCTTTATGGCAAAGATATCCTCTTTCAGCCAGGTTGACTCGATCTGCCATTCGGAAGGCAGATTCCATCTGATGCTGAGATTTAAATCTCTGTGTTTGACTGATTAGCTTTATTTTGGAGATGTGTGATGCTTTAATCCTGTTTGGCTGTGGAGATAGAAAAGAGCACCGTAGGGATTCCAGGAACGCAACTATTATGGAAGACAGTTAAAATCCTTCTAAAAATGCCCCCTTTTAAGGACACCACAAGATTAAGGTCAAGGTGGGACTGTTTTGAGTTTTATATTTTTTTTTTTACTTTTCCCGGAACTGAGGAACCTTTTCGCAGAGCTAAATTCCATCATTATACTAACGATTCTGATGAGATATGGTCGACAGTGGAACACTAATTTGTAACAAGAAGATGCAAGTGATTGTGTTCAGAGGTGGTATTCAGCCGGTTCGGACCGGTTCTGGTGTATCGGTAATGAAAATTTTGGCCAGTTGGGAGAATGGGCAAATATCACCTCTGGCTGGCCTTGCTCCGGCTCTTTCCCATCCTTTATTCCATCGATTTTTAGCTCAGCTGATTCGCATGGCAGAGTGGATTGCCGTGCCTCAGCTGAGCTAAAAAAACAGCTCAGGTGATTTTTGAGTGCTGCGCACGCGCATAAAATGTTCTTTGAGTGCTGAGCGCACGCAAAGTGATCGTTGAAGTCCGCAGAACCTCTAGTGCTCAATTTGGAATCCCAACATTGGTTGTGTTCATAGGTCAGCCAGTCATGTCCTTCTCTGTAAAGTCCCCTTTTCTTTCCTTCCCATCTAGTTTGGCGTTTCTCTGCAGCCTTAACAGTTGGTCAATACGCTGCGGCTTTGTTCTTTTAGTCACATTCATCTGGTTTCCAGCTTTCTCCACCCGTAGAGTCTCCCTACCCTTTGTTGTTGTTGTTGTTGTTGTTGTTTTGTACTGGGTTCCTCCAAACCTCCTGCTAGCTTCTTGATAGTCCTCAACTTACAATCCTTAGTTTACCAATGTTCAAAATTACAACTGCACTGAAAAAGGCGACTTATGATTCAGTCCTTGCATTTATGACCATTGTAGCATCCTCATAGTCATGGTTACGATGATGATTATGGTCACATAAGCAAAATTCAGTCGCTTGGCAACCGGCGTGTATTGACAAGGATTGTAGCGTTCCAAGATCATCTGATCGCTGTTTATGACTTTCCCAGCAGGCTTCCAACAAGCAAAGTCAGTTGGGGATGGGGAGCTGGATTCACTTAATGACTGCATGATTCAATTAACAGCTGATTTGCTTAACCCTAGTAAAAAAAAAAGGTCATAAAATTGGCCATGGCTCGCTTAATAACCACCCTGCTTAGCAATGGAAATATTCTAGTCCAAATTGTGGTTGTATAAAGTTCTTCCTGAACTCCAGGCACAGTGAATTCTAGACCTTTGATCATCATTATTTTGGATGGCTGAAAGCTACAAAGAAGGTTTCTGCAACATCAGGGAGTTATACATGTCCGAATTATATCCAGATACAGGTAATCCTCAACTTATAAACAGTTCAAAGTGACACCACTGAAAAAAAGTTACTTATGACCATTTTCACACTTATGACGATTGCAGCATCTCCATGGTCACATGATCAAAAGTACTGACAGTTCGCAAGTGGTTTGTGTTTATGATGGTTGCAGCATCCCAGGATCCTGGGATCACCTTTTGCGACCTTCTGACAAGCAAAGTCAATGGAGAAACCAGATTCACTTGAAACCATGTTACTGATTTAACAACTGCAGTGACTGACTTAACAACTGTGGCAAGATAGGTTGCAAAATGGGGCAAAGCTCATTTAACAAAGGTCTTGCTTAGCAACATATATTTTGAGCTCAATTGTAGTCGTAAGTTGGGAACTTCCAATATTATAGCTTTAATAAAATGGCAGTATTGACCATGTTTAAAAAAACAAAAACAGCCATGATTGGCTTTTACCTTTCTTGGCAGTACACAATTATTAATTTAAGAGAATTCAGATCCCGCCATTTACACCCCAGTGAGCTGCCTGTTGGGTGACAAGGCTGCTGTGAAATTTTGTATGATTTACATTTGTATGATTTACAGAAAATGTATGTGGCTAAATTTGCATATTGTGCTAAACTGAAATACTTGTTACATTTTGGTTTAAAGGTGTGAATCCAGCCTTTTTCGGTTCTCTTCAAAGCCTGCTAACTTGGTAGCTTATTCAGTAACCTGATTTAAAAATTCAGCCTGTGTTTATATGATGGGAGTTTAATTTACTTCTGTGTTATCCAGGGTTAGTATTACCTTGACCTGTCACTGAAAATACAATGTTGTTAGTCAATGATCCTTCTAAGGAATGGTTTGTTTTGAGATAAAAGGAATATCTGGGGTGTCGTTCTACATTGTGGGTGCATTTTCCATGATATAAATCTGAATGCTGAATTGCACTTGGAACGTTAGTTGGGTTTACCTGCAGTATTTGGAATATTTAGTTGTCTTATAATGATCTGTGCAATTTGGAATAAATTCTGTTTTTGTATCAGAAGACAAATGGCCAGTAGAAAGCATATGATTACAAGATGAAAAAGGTCTTTTGCTGCTTCAATAAACTTTGGAACTCCCTGCACAGGGATGCTGCATTCATTTTTTTCTATTGCCTTTTTATTTAGGTGTTTGTTTTTGACAAATACACCATGTTTGTTACAGACCTCCTTTTTAAATGCCTGTAATTTGTCCATTAACCAATTTAATATCCTTTTTTAATAGAAAGATAGAGGTACATATTGAGTAAAGCTTTCGGAACAGTTTTGAAATTGTAGATTTAAAAAAATCTATATAGAAGCTAGTGTATAACCATGCTAATGTTCATTATTTCTCTGCTTTGGGGCATCATTTAGTACAGGGGTCTCCAACCTTGGCAACTTTAAGCCTGGAGGACTTCAACTCCCAGAATTCCCCAGCCAGCTTCTGGGAGTTGAAGTCCTCCAGGCTTAAAATTGCCAAGGTTGGAGACCCCTGATCTAGTAGAGAGGTCTACCCAAGAACTTGAAGGAACCATGAAGTTGTAGTCCAAATCAATTGCGCGACTGTTCTACATTTCCTGAGTCTATATTCAGAGCTAAGATTTGCGAGTGTGCGCAGGCGCAAGGAGTCATTGGATCGTTTCTCCAAACCGCTCCTTGGTAATTGCGTCCTCCGGCCCGTAGAGGGAGCCGCCGAAACTTCACTGGCGCGCAGTTTGGCGGTAATCCAGTTGCGCCTGCGCGCTAGTTTTTATGATCACACAGATGGCCGAGTCTCCCGCTCTGAAGAGAAAACGCGAGGAAAAAGAGAGCGAGAACGGATCCGCCGGGTCTCAAAATGAAGGGCCGGCCCCCGGCAACTTCCCTTTGGCCGAGCTCTCTGTGATGAAAGTACTGAGGGAATCCGCGCGGGAGAAGGCGATCTTCCTCCACGGGCGGGTAGGGAAATTATTGGCTCTTCGGGCTTTGGAATTGTTAGCTGACGGCCAATAAGAGAACAAGGGGCGGGGCTAGCTGGCGACGTCTCACTCGCCGCCTTTTTGGTTAAGGGAACGTCACGATTTGCATAATAATAGCCGTGACTGTCGGAGAGCGTGTGACGTCATCGCACACCTTCCCGCGTGCCGATGCTGTTGCAAGGTGTGCCAGGACTACAGTTCCCATCACCCCCCTACCTCAATAGGCCACCTAGTAGGCGGGGAGGGGGTGATGGGATTTGCAGTCCAAGGCACCTCAAAGCCTCCCTTCTAATTGAGAAAGAGGCTGAAGGGAAGGAGGGGGCTCAAGGGCCGGGTGTGGGTGTGGGAGTTTTTGAGGATTCCCCATTTTGTTTGCTGAGGGCGCGGGGGGGGGGGGTGAAAGCAGCAGCAGGACAGGAGGCGTTTCTTTTCCCAAGCTGATGATGTGATGTGGGAAGACTGCACGAAATAAAAATGTGCATAAAGACTTCAGAACAGACTCCTGGCCCCCGAACGCCTGATCTCTGGGCCTTCTGCATATTGTTTTTATAAAAGATATATATACAAATAATTTTCTATTTTTAATTGATTTGTCATGTTCATAGGAATATATAATCTATCTATCTATCTATCTATCTATCTATCTATCTATCTATCTATCTCTATCTATCTATCTATCTATCTATCTATCTATCTATCTATCTATCTAAAAAAGCAAAATACCCCTCACGCATCATCACAAAATCTCCAGAACCGTAAAGCCTACAAACTTGAAATTTGGCACATATGTCCCTCTTGGCTTCTAGGTGCTCACTAAGAAAGGGTTTTTTGAAATGACCATCAGAACATTAGTATTTCATAATTATTAATAACACGCTCTGATGCTAAGGAGTTCTACTCCCCCTCCCCACCTGAAAAGAAATCTGTTCCAAATGCAAAACAGAAGCAAAGGAGAGGAGTTTCAGTTTTAATTTCACAGCAGCAACCAGTTTTACTACACAACAGTTGAGCTAAGCCACACCCAGGCTCCTTGCTGTCTCCTTGCAAACTCAGCAAACTCTGTTTCAAGTTTCCAAACAACCCTCAACTCTCTCACACACTGACAGGATACTCACCAGATGAATACCAATGGATGTTGGTAGGCGGAGGCAGAATTTCCCCCCCTTATTTTCCTCCCCCAAAACAATAATAAATATATATTGTATGTTTTTTTAATGTATTCTGAGAGCATTTGCACCAAGACAAATTTCTTGTCTTGGCCAATAAAATAATTCTAATTCTTCTAATTCTAATTCTATTACATGCACAACTCAGAAATATGCAGCTTAAAAGAGGCGCAAAGGAGACTGATTCCTACAGTTTGGCGCAATGTTTCAGCTGCAGTTGAGCTTTTTTTTTTTTTTGACAATCTGAGTCTACACTCATGAGTCTTAAACATGGTAACTTTAAGAAACTTCGGCTTCCAGAATTCCTCGTTCTGGCTAAGGAATTCTGGGTGTTAAAGTCCACAAGTCTTAAAATTGCTACGGTTAGGGAAAACTGCCAATGAGTAAAGATGGAAGAGATCGAGAGGTGCCAGGCAAAGATGGGAAATAATTTGGGTTACTTATAGTAAAAGCTCCCTCAAGCTCATTTTCTGGTAATGGATGGACATGGTCTTTCCATTTCCATGGCAACAATATAGAAATGCATTATCCTTACATTCTTCTGTTGTTTTTCTAAGCGTTCCAATCTAGTTTATAATCAAGTGGGATTTTTTGTGGTCTTCCATGCAAGCACTGGCCAGATCTGACCCTGTTGAACTTTTTCAAGATTAGCCAAGGTCCCCTAGAGGCTGCCATTTGTTGTAACATATGGAAAAAAAGAAAATATTTTATACTCTAACCTCAGTTGATGGGTTAGCATCATTTATTTACCTATGTTTTCTTCCTTTGCCCCCTCCCCTTTTCCAGCCTTTGTGCTATTCCGATTCCAACTACAAAGCAGAAAAATGTTTCAACAAAATGTATTCTAGAATATCCAGGCTATGTATTGGGAAGAACCCAGTGATAACAACCTGGGAATAAATTCTCTACTGATTCTAATGTTATTTTCAATCCCTAGGAGAATACATGGTCTTATATCACACAGTAACCCACTTAACCATTATTTGTTGAATAAACCTCAAGAAACTATAGTGAATTGTGTGCTGAGCCAAAAACAAATAAAATATAATGGGTTTTAGCAATGGAGATGTCCTAGATGAGACCTAGTCTACAGGTTTGACAGTGAGAAATAAACAGGGAATACAGCGGTCATATAGCTGAATGAAATTGTGTAGCCGAGTGCCCAGATTGCTATTATTTCACCTAACAAAAGTATTTCCTACGTATCTCCAGATTTAGATTATTTTTCTTATTAGCATATCTATTGCTTTTGGCCAGGAGATCAGTTTTTCATGTTTAGTGTTTAAAGAGAAATTGAATTGCAAACTAGCGGTTAACTTGAATGCTGTAAATAAGATGGATGGACTTGTCACTCAGGGCCTATAAGAACTGGAAAATTGCAAGTACTCTTTTAATTCGCCTTTTACAACTATATTGTGTTTCAAAGGCAGATTCTCCGGAGTGCAGGGGATACAGCTGGATTAATACTTTTATTGTCCTCTGTAAATCCACCCAGAGATAACCAAGGCGTGCAGTGAAGTGTCAGGAAATTGCTTACATCTCTATCATTTTAAAGAACAGTCTAAATTCTAGAGGAGTGATTTTTTTTTAAAGGAAGGTGGATTAGATTCAAGGTCAAATTCAAAGTGTGGGTGAGTAAAGCTATTAAAGAGAGAAAGGGTCGATAAACTACAGTTACAAAGCACCACCAAAAGCAGGTAATATGCTTCCTGGTGGAACAGCCAAGGTCAGATTTAGTACGGTAGATACAGATGAATTGTTCTACCATCGCTCATCCTAGTTCAGTGTATCACAAGGTTAATCATGGCATACATTTTTCCTATACTAATATTACCAGGCGGCTGGCTATGATAAAGTACAGTAAATTCTTATCAGTGCTTTGTGCAGTTCCAAATCCTCCTCCTGTATCTTATTATCCTGAGTTTCTTCTCCTCTCCTCTTAATATTTAAATGTTCTGTCAATCTTGGTAGCTCCCTGATACTTGTAAGCTGGTATGTTTGATAAATGTATGTTTACATACTTCATTACTTGTACATGGTTTGCCAATTTACATCTAAACAGACCAGTGTGTTCACATTCAAGGTTTCAGGGTTTAGAGCTTGACTGTAGCAACGTATCAAAATAAAAATGCTTTACATCATTCCTGGTTTTCCCATTTTTTAAACTTGTGTCTTAAGGATCGAATATTCATGATCGTGTTTGATAGTGGTTCAAAAGGTAAGAGATACTGGAATGAATGATAACCAGACCTTTCGTTATCCTTGTGATTGTTTCTTCATACATGTACTGTACAAGAACACACATACACACATACATATTTGCAGCCAACTATTCAGTGTTCTAATCAGAACTGGCTGCTGCAATCTATATTAAAAAATGGTCTTTGACTTTTTGCATCTTGCTTGTGTGCTTCCAAGCACATCTGTTGGTGGTTGCTGACTTTGGTGTAGCAGAAAACTATTTGTGTTATTTCTTTAGGTGAATAATGCTTCTGGGGATAAGACAGATGCTGTTGTGATCCTTGAGAAGATTCCCTTCCAGGAAGAGAACATCACGGAACTCTTAAAGAAGCACACTGGGCTTCAGCTCCAGATGTCCAATGACATCTATAGCACTTACCACCTCTTCCTTCCTCCAGAATTAAATGGTGAGTGGCCATCCAGGGAAGTTTGATTGATATCCGTGGGAAGCTGTCCCATAAACCATATGTGACCCACCAGCCCCTTTTGGTGTCTTTCTGTAATGGTTGTAGAAATGCTCTTACGATGCTCCATCATAACTTTGAATGGTCCTTAAGTGAGCATCATAAATTGACTGCAATTGGGCCTGCAAAGTATGTTAAGCAATAACATGCCAAAGAAATATCATAAATTGTGTTTGTTACTTCTACATTTGCCATCCATTTCTCATTGTGGCTATAATCCTAATCAATACCCATTATAGTTTCAGCAAGTAATGGTCTCTCAGTGAAGTCCACACATTATGTCTTGTGGTTCTTCAAAGGGTTGGATTGTACATCCTGCCACTCACACTGTGATGGAGGTTGAGTAAGTTTCCTTAGGTAGCATCCTTGAGTGTCTGGGTCCTGCACCTTAAGACTTCATTCGGAATCGTGACTTTTATTTGTATCCCAAGATTTGTATCTTGGGAGACAGGGGAAACAGCCAGAGTGAGGGAAACAGGCAGATAATCAGTAGCTGAGCCTAAAGCAGGTATGTGAACATGGCAAGTGTCATAAAAAGGCTCTTCTCTAGTTTCTTGCACTATAAAGGCAATAAGGATTTTCAGACTTGCATGATTCAAATTCAAATCCAGGGTCAAGGGATGCTTTCCACTCAACTATGGTAGGAATTATATTCTTTATTGAATCATATCTCCTTTTTATCTCAGTACATTCTGCTCTGGTGTCTTCCAGCATATCTCAAATTGCTCTGTCCTGCTAGAGTTTGCCATGCCTGCAACAGAGTTTATCCCCAAGATACCAATTAGCACTTCTCACCCTATCAAATATTTCTTTTTATTCCAGTACAGAAAATGCACGGTGAAAATTTGCGTCGTGGATTGGGGGCCTTCTAGGTTTTCAAGGTTTTTTCCTCCAGGGTGGCATCATTCAAACAGGCAGCCTTGCTTTGTCTTACCTATGTCTTTTAGATAGTTTAGCGTTTAAAAGAGTAGGGAAGCTTTGTATTTCGTGGTAATTATCTTTGAGTGAAAGTTTCTGTCCTTGTGGCCAATGAACCCTAAACCCCGGCAAGAACATAAGACAGACACACATTTTCTGTGACGTTTTTAAATCGTCAGAAGAAAGAGGGGAGAGGTTGGACTAGATGACCTACAAGATCCCTTCCAACTCTGTTAATCTGTAAGGTGTGGCACTTACCAACCGAGTCTGCTCTCCCCAGGGGCTCACCGTGTACTGTAGGAGAACATTTGCACTAGCTCTTGTGATCTTGCTTTCTTCTTGGACTGCAAGGAAGATGTGATTTCCACAAGGTGGCTCTCTTGGATAACAAGCTTTGAAATGTAACTGTATCATCTGAATGGCAAGCCAGTGCTATGTTATTCCCTTTGCCAGGGGTTTTACTCTAAATCCTGAGTATCAGTCTGATTCGGATTCTAAGGGGCAATCCCTATTTGTTCAGAAATCATTAATGTAAAACGTTGTAATGTATTGTTTTACATTAAATCATTAATGTAAAACAATATCTACAGAACCAGCAGATGGAGATAAAAATCTAAAGTACAAATTTACTTAGCTACTTGGTTCAGATGTGCTAGGGCGAACTAAATATAGGTAGTCCTCAATGTTATGACCATAAGGGAATCAATCGGTCATAGGGTTGTAAAACGGGCTTGATCATGTAACAGGCCTGGTTTTATGACCTGTTTTGCAGTGATCGTTAAGTGAATGTGGCAGTCGTAAAGCAGGCATCCAGTTGTTAAGTGAACACCAGGCTGGTTAAGCAGATCAGTGATTCGCTGTGGGAGCGAATTTACTGAACACCGGAAGTAACTGCTGTTGGGTATTTTTGTTTTGGCAAAACTTCTATAAGGAAGTCACATGACCATGGGACACTGCATACAACCAAAAATGTGGCCTGGTTGCCAAGTGCCTGAAGTTCAGTCAAGTGACTGCAGGGCACCTGACTGTTGGAACTTCAAACCCAAGTTGTAAGTAAGGCCTGATAGGCCCGTCATAATTTTGAATGGTCGCTGCATGAGTGAGTGCCCGTGGATTGCAGTTGGGCCTACAAAGTACGTAAAGTGATAAAGCACGCCAAAGAAACATAAGTTGGGTTTGTTACTTATAACATGTGCCACCCGTTTGCCATTGTGGCTGCAATCCTAAACAATGCATATTATAGCTTCAGCAAATAATAGTGAAATCCGTGGATCTTGTTTTGTGCTTCTTCAAAGGGTTGGATTATATATCTCAGCCTTCTGCCTCTGGCAGTATGAGGAAGCCAAGTAAGTTTCCTTAGATAGCATCCTTAAATGGCTGTCCTGCACCTTAAGACTTCATTGGAATGATGACATTTTACTTAGTTATTTGTATCCTGCCCTTTAAATATTATTTTTATAAATAACGAGTAGAATGGATGGTCATGACGACACGTTCTTGAAGGTGTGTTGTGTGTGAACTGAGGAAGGTGGATGTAAGCATTTTAATAGGGGGATGTGGCTATGCAGGTAGTCCTAGATTTACAGCAGTTCATTTAGTAACCATTCAAAGTTATGGCGACATCGGTGACTTGTGACTATTTTGCACACTTATGACCATTTCAGCATCCCCATAGTCCCGTGATCAAAGTTCAGGTGCTTGGGAACTGACTCATATTTATGACGGTTCCAGTGTTCTGGGCTCATGCGATCATCTTTTCCAACCTGACATACAGTCAATGGGGAAGCCAAATTCTCTTAACAGCTGTGTCACTAACTTAACAACTGCAGCAATTCACTTAATAACTGTGGCGAGAAAGGTTGTTAAATGGGACAAACTTCACTTATCAACTTTTGCTTAGCAATAGTAATTTTGGGCTCAGTTGTGGTCTTAAGCAGAGGACTGCCTGTATGAAAGCTGTAGATGGATGTGAAGAGAGTGAGGGATTCAGATCTTGTGTAGATTTCCTATACTCAGTCCTAAACACACCCACACGCCCACACACACGCTCCCAAACCTTGAACAATTCCAGAGTTACTTCCATAATGCAGAATAATGCAGAAGTCCTTGTATTTGAACATGGGACACAATAACATCGGAATGTTTTCTTTTGTGAATTTCCCCTTGGATTAAGAGAAGACAACATGCTTTGTAGGACTAATACCGGTCTTAGAATAAAAAGGGCCTTCTGTTTATATTCAGTGCAAGTTCTTTGAGTAGCAGAGGGCTTTGATGACTCTTTCTTGTTACTCTTTACAGACTGATAAATGGTTTATTGGGTGATGGTGTAAAGAAATAAATAACTGCTTATACACGTTTTGGCGTTTCAAGTAGACTTGAGTTATGGCCTCTTAAAGCGAGAACCATATGTTGCTGGTGGCGCTTTGCATATCTACAGCCGCAGATTTGATTTCTGCATTCAGTTAAAAGGCTTTGTGCACTGCTGAGCTTTATTAGATGTGAGGTGGGGTGGGATTATCTCAGAGAAGTCCTCCTGCCAGTTGGAAAAAGATCAGATGACGCCTTATTGTATTTTCCTTGAAATATTACCGTGTTTCCCTGGAAATAAGTTCTAGCCTGATTTTTAAGCATGCATGTAAGATAAGCCCTACCCCCCCCAAAATTAGCCCCAGTGAAGGGGGTGGTTGTGGCCAGCACAGGAGGTGGTGAGCACATGTGGGCTGATGGAGTCCAGCAGTTACCGCAGCCCCTGAGTTGATTTCCTGTCCAGGCTGCTGGAAAGCTAAGAGCCAGTGGGCTGGAGTAAGGGGGCAGCCACAGGAGGCTCGCCTTCATATCTCTTGGCTTGCCCGTGGCCCACATGGTGCGTCTGGATTGCCTGCCTCCCACCGCCCATGCATGTCTCTGTCTCTGCTGCTTGGACAGGGAATCAACTCGCCTGTACTGCGTGGACTGCACAGCCCCAGAGCGTGCCAAGCAAGGGACTGGCGGGCTGCAGGTGCTGGCAGATACCATTGGTCCCTGTGCACTTGCTGCTTGTCCACACACTGGGGGAGTGAGGTGTCCAGCCAGGCTGCTCACCCTGAAATTGTGCTTCCCAAAAAATAAGACCCAGTGTTTATTTTGGAGCCTGAAAAAAAATATAAGACTGGGTCTTATTTTGGGGGAAACACGGTCTATTCTGAAATGCTCTAGAACAGAGGAGCAAAAGTCAGCAGGCTGACCAGCTTTGACATTTTCATACCTCTTGGCTGCACCGTCTTTGATCCCACTAAAGTTAATCAAGAAATTAGCTTCATCAGAATCATAAGGAGAAATAAATCGATCCTTTGCTTTTTGGTATGCCTTCCATTCAGCCGAACAGTTCGAAGAAGAACGTCAAATATTGGTGCCCAGTGTTTATTTTTAGACAATGAAACTAAAGATGTGATAAATTTGTTGGTATAAACGGGGGGGAAAAAAGAAATGAGTGCTCCAGCAATGAAGTGTAAAAGCACACACCCGTGGGCAGGATTTTCCCAATGTTCCTTGGTCATGTAATCTATAAGTAGTCCTTGTCTTACAAGCATTTGTTAACCGTTCAAAACTACACTGGCACTGAAAAATCGGTCCTCGTACTTACGACTATCAAGGCATTCTCCATGGTCACGTGATCCAAATCTGGGCACTTAAGCAACTGGCATTATTCACAACAGTTGCGGTGTCTCTGTGTCATGTGATTGCCACTTGCATCCTTCCCAATTGCGGTCGTAAGTCGAGGAGTCCCCATATCATTCTCCAAAACCTGGAACTAATCAAGTAAATTTTTTTTAAAAAAACAGAGGAAAGGTTCACATCCTCATTCTACAAGGAGGTTGTTGGTGACTGCATCCACACCTCACACTAAGCCCCTGAATCGGGAGTGAACAACGTTAAAAAAACAACAAAAACAATTAATCTTCTTGCTTTAAGTATGTTGAAAAGGAAAATAAAAGTCTCTATTCAGGCTGCCAAACCCCTGAGATATTTGAAGCTTCACGCTAATT